CTAATCCATGCTAATCATTTTTAATCATTCATTAATTGTGCATTATGTCTCAATTTTCACTTCCTTGGATATACTGTGCAGTACAAAAGGTAGGATAAAAATAAACCAGTAATATTTCTTTCATTATATTTTTTTATTTAAATAACTGCATCAATATTTTTACAGCTGACAGGATTTGTTTTACAATACAGGTGCATTGTTTGTTAAACAAATTGGTTTATTGTTACACACAATGGTGCTACATAGCCTTCCCAGCTTGGTGCCTTCTTTTAATACTTACTTACTGATTAATAAATATATTTTATTCCGGAAAAGTACATACAGTTGATTTACAAACATAATGTTGGATTTATAGACAGAGCTAGTACATAAAATACCTAAAGCCACTAATACTCATATCATTTCGGGCAAGGTGTGGGGGAAAACACTTAGACTCAAACTTAATAGTAATCGGGATTAGGTATAAATTGTGTTGAAAGAAGGAATAAAAAATAAAAAAAGGGGGGATAACATAGCAGAAATCTGCAATTGTACACGTTGGTGAACAGCATTTTTTAAAAATAGCAAGACATGGGTTGACATTTAGGGAGTAAGGTAGGTTACATGGAGTTAATTAGGTAGTATTTGGTTTTACTCTTAAACTGGATGAGAGAGGTACAGCCTTTGACATGATTCGGGAGGTCATTCCACATTCTGGGTCCCTTGATTTGTAGAGCACTTCTAGTTTGGTTACACACAGCCAAATTGTGTAACAGGAAGAGGTCTTGGACACGGCTGATTCCTCTAAATGCTAAATGTAGAGGAATCCGCGGTGTATTCCTCAAATAAAATAAGCTGCCTCAGCTTATAGGGTAAATAAAATAAGCATTTCTCAAATAAGTAGCTGCCTCACCTCACTGCCTTACTGCTACATAGCCATCCCAGCATGGTGCCTCCTTTTAATAATTACTTGTTTCACACCCAAGTTGTGTAACAGGAAGAGGTCTTGGACCCCTATTTCCCTCTCTCTTTTTTAATAGTCCATATTCATAATTAAGTTTAAGTATTCAATGAATAAGTTTTGACATTTTTACCCTTCCCTTACCTAACATCATTTGTGCAGCATATTTTTATTTTATGTCTCACCCAGATTTAATTTAAAAATAAAACAAACTAAATAAATTAGAAAAGGTATTATACTAAGGTAACCCTTACGACAAGGTGAACAGGACATTTGGTGATAGTAAATGATCCCATCAGGCGGCTCCACCTTCTCTCATATTTCATGTTTCACCAGTGTTTTTTACTTAATACTACTGTATAATATCTTGCTATTATAAAACTAATTCTATTCGCTATCATCAAACACCATATTTACTTCAAGTTTTCAAGCAGAGAATGCATATAAACTAACACGAAGGACTTCTCTTCACTAGATTCACCAACTATAATATTTTGTCATGTTCCAAAATCTTAAAATCGATCCCAGTGTTATGTAGTAGGAAAAATTGAGTTATATCCAGTTTACGTAAAGCTACGAGTGTCGACACCACACTTAGATGCCGGACCAAACTTACGAAGGTTTTTCACTTTAGTATAGCTACCTGAATACTGACATAGCCGCCACGAAGGCGCTAAGAAGGAAAATCTGCAATTGTACACGTGGTGAACAGCTTTTTTAAAAATAGCAAGACATGGGTTGACATTTAGGGAGTAAGGTAGGTTACATGGAGTTAATTAGGTAGTATTTGGTTTTACTCTTAAACTGGATGAGAGAGATACAGCCTTTGACATGATTCGGGAGGTCATTCCACATTCTGGGTCCCTTGATTTGTAGAGCACTTCTAGTTTGGTTACACACAGCCAAATTGTGTAACAGGAAGAGGTCTTGGACACGGCTGATTCCTCTAAATGCTAAATGTAGAGGAATCCGCGGTGTATTCCTCAAATAAAATAAGCTGCCTCAGCTTATAGGGTAAATAAAATAAGCATTTCTCAAATAAGTAGCCGCCTCACCTCACTGCCTTACTGCTACATAGCCTTCCCGGCATGGTGCCTCCTTTTAATAATTACTTGTTTCACACCCAAGTTGTGTAACAGGAAGAGGTCTTGGACCCCTATTTCCCTCTCTCTTTTTTAATAGTCCATATAGTCATAATTATAGCTTTAAGTATTCAATGAATAAAGTTTTTGACATTTTTACCCCTTCTCCTTACCTAACATCATTTGTGCAGCATATTTTTATTTTATGTCTCACCCAGATTTAATTTAAAAATAAAACTAAACTAAATAAATTAGAAATAGGTATGTATAGCTAAGGTACACCCTTACGACAAGGTGAACAGGAGCATTTGGTGATAGTAAATGATCCCATCAGGCAGGTCTCACACCTTCTCTCATATTTCATGTTCACCAGTGTTTATTTACTTAATAACTACTGGTATAATATCTAGCTATTATAAAATTAATTCTAATATCATAAAAGACATATTTACTCAACGTTTCAAGCAGAGAATGCATATATAACTAACACGAAGGACTACTCTTCACGAGATTTAATAGCTATAATCTTTTGTTTATGTTCCAAAATCTTAAAATCGATCCCAGTGTTATGTAGTAGAGAAAAATTGAGTTATATCCAGTTTACGTAAAGCTACGAGTGGTCGACACCACACTTAGATGCCGGACCAAACTTACGAAGGTTTTTCACTTTAGTATAGCTACCTGAATACTGACATAGCCGCCACGAAGGCGCTAAGAAGGAAAATATTCGTAGCTAAGAAGAAAAACCTTCGTAAGTACCTTCGTGAATCTGGCCCCTGGACCCTAGGTCCACGAGCTTAGAGCGCTGTCCACTCAACAACCCAGCCCCCGATGTGTGTGTGTGTGTGTGTGTGTGTGTGTGTGTGTGTGTGTGTGTGTGTGTGTGTGTGTGTGTGTGTGTGTGTGTGTGTGTGTACTCACCTAGTTGTGCTTGCGAGGGTTGAGCTCTGGCTCTTTGGTCCCGCCTCTCAACTGTCAATCAATCAACTGATTTTGATTTTTTCCACACACACACTCACCCCCAGGAAGCAGCCCGTAGCAGTTGTCTACCAAGTACCTATTTGCTCTTAGATGAACAGGCACATCAGGGTGAAAGAAACTCTGCCCATTTGTTTCCTCCTTCGCCGGGGATCGATCCCCGGTGGAAGATTTCTTAATGTCAGTCATCTAATAAAAAAACTCCTGACCCTTTCTTCTCCTACTACGTAAACCTAATACTAAGTACAAAGATAACCTCAAGGGTGTTCCTTTCTTGTTTATTCCACCCGCTCACATTCCCAAGCTTTTTAGAAATGTGAAGCAATGAACGAGGCTGTTCGCAAACTGCTGAGTTTCAACTCATGGCTTCTTGTTCTGCTGATTCTCAGTTAAAATTGGTAGATGATTGTCAGCACTTTGATCTGTTTCCATCAGTCTCCTCAAACTCTCCTCCCTTCTGTGTGAAGTTTAGTTCCCTTAACCTATAATATTATGCTATTTGTCTTAGTTTCCTTAACCTATACTAGTATTATAGTGCTCTAAGTTTCTTTAACCTATAATAGTTTCCCCGATGATCTTAGTTCAGGTTCCTAGTTTTGCTGCATTTCAAATCGTTCTCGTATTGGATCAAGTTTTCCGAAAGAAGACTTGTCAAGGGTCCTAAAAGTTGTCGCAATGTTTGACAAGTATGACCGCACCTCACCTACGAGCAGGTCGGCCGAGCGGACCGCACACTGGTCTTATAATCCTGTGGTCCCGGGTTCGATCCCGGGCGCCGGCGAGACACAATGGGCAGAGTTTCTTTCACCCTATGCCCCTGTTACCTAGCAGTAAAATAGGTACCTGGATGTTTGTCAGCTGTCACGGGCTGCTTCCTGGGGGTGGAGGCCTGGTCGAGGACCGGGCCGCGGGGACACTAAAAAAGCCCCAAAATCATCTCAAGATAACCTCAAGATAGCCCCTCCCCCCCCCCGGCGGCACTTTGATGGTAATCTTGGGCATAGCTATTTCATCAAATCACTTCATTTTAGTGGGGCAACGTGAGCAACAGAAGGCGAACAACCTTGAATGGTCCCCAAGCATATATGCAAATGAAAATTCCACACCCCAGAAGTGACTCGAACCCGGGCCTCCAGAAATTACCGTTACTGTTTGGTATTGTGGGCAGTGGGTAGGTCCAGGGGTGCCGACTCAGTCAGCAAGCATTACCTTCAATGACATGTAATGTTCAGAAGTGTTTATTTACTTAAAACTATTGCAATAACATATTTTATGATATTAAATGTGTATTTTATGAATAGACAAATACGTACTAAGAGTTATAGACACCAAGATAATATACCCAGTGGGCACAGCTACCGTTAATGACGATGATTCGACGTTGAATCGACGATTATATCGTTGATTCGAGGTCGAATCGACGCCGCTTTTAGTGCCTATTCCCGCAGGCGGCAACGTAACTGCCAAGGGAAAGATGCCCAACGCAGTTGGGCATTTGCTTGGACAAATCCTGCCCCTTGGACATCAAAGTCGTCACGGACAAGTTATTATCCCGGCCAGGTAAACACAGTTGTGAGACGGGACCAAAGAGCTGAATCTCAACCCTCCCTGCAAGCATGATTAGGTTAGTAGACAGGATCGTGCTGCGTGTGGCGGCGTTCGTCAGGGCCGCGGAACAACGAGGTGGAAAAACAAAGTAAGCGCGGGCACGCACCTGTGGAGATGGACCCAATAATTTGTTCCTTTGTGTTGCTACTTGCGCCGCCCGACCCTTCCAGTCACCTTTGCTCCTTCCCTCTCCCCACTCTCTCCCCTTCCATTCATATCCACACCCCTTCCTCCTCTCACCCCTTGTCCATCTCCCCATTATTTCCTTTTCCCTACCCACCCCCATTTTCGTAACCAAATTCACATGTATACCGACAGAATTGTTTGTTTTGGTTACAATCATTAGTAAGAGAGTTTAGGGTAAGGACTTTGTGATGTTTACATCGTAACAGCTGATCATGCGTGTGGACTTCGATCATCACAAGGTGACTTGTGCAGCTGCGAGACTGGCACTGTTAGCTCACCTGCAGCTGACTGGCACAGCTTCAAGACTGGCACTGTTAACTCACCTGCAGCTGACTTATGTAGCTTCAAGACTGGCACTGTTAACTCACCTGCAGCTGACTTATGTAGCTTCAAGACTGGCACTGTTAGCTCACCTGCAGCTGACTTATGTAGCTTCAAGACTGGCACTGTTAACTCACCAGCAGCTGACTTATGTAGCTTCAAGACTGGCACTGTTAGCTCACCTGCAGCTGACTTATGTAGCTTCAAGACTGGCACTGTTAACTCACCAGCAGCTGACTTATGTAGCTTCAAGACTGGCACTGTTAGCTCACCTGCAGCTGACTTATGTAGCTTCAAGACTGGCACTGTTAGGTCACCTACAGCTGACTTATGTAGCTTCAAGACTGGCACTGTTAACTCACCAGCAGCTGACTTATGTAGCTTCAAGACTGGCACTGTTAGGTCACCTACAGCTGACTTATGTAGCTTCAAGACTGGCACTGTTAGCTCACCTGCAGCTGAGTGGTACAGCTTCAAGACTGGCACTGTTAGCTCACCTGCAGCTGAGTGGTACAGCTTCAAGACTGGCACTGTTAGCTCACCTGCAGCTGACTGGTACAGCTTCAAGACTGGCACTGTTAGCTCACCTGCAGCTGAGTGGTACAGCTTCAAGACTGGCACTGTTAGCTCACCTGCAGCTGACTGGTACAGCTTCAAGACTGGCACAGTTAGCTCACCTGCAACTGACTTATTCAGCTTCAAGACTGGCACTGTTAACTCACCTGCAGCTGCCAGGTACAGCTTCAAGACTGACACTGTTTGTCGAAAAATCCGACACCATTTAATAATATCAATGCAATTGCAGATAATATTGCTACGTTGTATACACAACTTACCCATAGAAAATGTAACTTGTAGTGGAACTTTCCGTCTATAGAAAACGGGATATCATTGCCACATACTATTATAAATTCACCAGCTATTCTGCTGGGAATTATTCTTAAATACATTAGTCTTTGGACTTTACCATCATAAAACCATCTTATTCTAATTAACTTAATTATCAGTATTAAAACAAAGTAAATGTGACCATTCTATCAGTTACTGACATCTCTACAATGTGAGGGAGGCGTCAGTGGTGAGGGAGTGGTCAGCCATTGTTGTTTAAGACCACAGAGGCGCAGGGAGCAAATTCGGCTCCTATTATTTCTCTTGGACGAAGTGTTATGGAAACCAAAGGTCTACCATCATCAACACGCTGTCAACAATAATCAAGGGAAGTGTTCAGCCGAAACCCATTTATCTAATCATTTTTGGCCATTAATGTCAGTAGATAGGGCGAACCGGTTAGAATGCAAACAGCCTCTTAATAAAAGGTAATTAAGCCTTGGTATTTATAATTCATTATACAGTGTTTTCTCTGATATAGCTGTCATATATTAGGATTCTGGCTTTTAGCTAGCACCCTTTTGACAGGTCAAGAAGAGGAAGCAAACTTTGTGTATCAGTTACCAGGGTGATGGAAGCTGCCTCACACGAGGAAATTTGGTGTCTACATCCTAGTTATATCTGGTGGACTAAGCCTGCTGTATAGTAAGATAAGGAACCTCTTCAATGTATACTAATATATGTAGTTTAATACTGTAGTTTGATTGGCTGCATATATATATATAAATTCAATATGACCCCCCCCTAATGTGTAGTGGATCGATTTGTGAGATTATTGCAGAAATACAGTCCACTTAACATCATACAAATTGCTACCGAAATATATAAATTAACGTAAATATAAATTCTATATAAATTCATATAAATTAAATTAAGTATAAATCTCACAGGTCGGTTCCCACACTGTTAGCTCACCTGCAGCTGACTGGTGCAGCTTCAAGACTGGCACTGTTAGCTCACCTGCAGCTGACTGGCACAGCTTCAAGACTGGCACAGTTAGCTCACCTGCAGCTGACTGGTGCAGCTTCAAGACTGACACTGTTAGCTCACCTGCAGCTGACTTATGCAGCTTCAAGACTGGCACTGTTAGCTCACCTGCAGCTGCCAGGTACAGCTTCAAGACTGACACTGTTAGCTCACCTGCAGCTGACTGGTGCAGCTTCAAGACTGGCACTGTTAGCTCATCTGCAGCTGACTGGTGCAGCTTCAAGACTGGCACTGTTAGCTCACCTGCAGCTGCCAGGTACAGCTTCAAGACTGACACTGTTAGCTCACCTGCAGCTGACTGGTGCAGCTTCAAGACTGGCACTGTTAGCTCATCTGCAGCTGCCAGGTACAGCTTCAAGACTGGCACTGTTAGCTCACCTGCAGCTGCCAGGCACAACTTCAAGACTGGCACTGTTAACTCACCTGCAGCTGACTGGTGGAGCTTCAAGACTGGCACTGTTAGCTCACCTGCAGCTGAGTGGTACAGCTTCAAGACTGGCACTGTTAGCTCACCTGCAGCTGACTGGTGCAGCTTCAAGACTGGCACTGTTAGCTCAGCTGCAGCTGACTGCAGCTGACTGGCACTGTTACAGCTTCAAAACTGGCACTGTTAGCTCACTGCAGCTGACTGTGCAGCTTCAAGACTGGCACAGCTCACCTGCAGCTGACTGGTACAGCTTCAAGACTGGCACTGTTAGCTCAGCTGCAGCTGACTGGTGCAGCTTCAAGACTGGCACTGTTAGCTCAGCTGCAGCTGACTTGTGCAGCTTCAAGACTGGCACTGTTAACTCAGCTGCAGCTGACTGGTGCAGCTTCAAGACTGGCACTGTTAGCTCACCTGCAGCTGACTGGTACAGCTTCAAGACTGGCACTGTTAGCTCAGCTGCAGCTGACTGGTGCAGCTTCAAGACTGGCACTGTTAGCTCACCTGCAGCTGACTGGTGCAGCTACGAGACTGGCACTGTTAGCTCAGCTGCAGCTGACTGGTGCAGCTTCAAGACTGGCACTGTTAGCTCACCTGCAGCTGACTGGTGCAGCTTCAAGACTGGCACTGTTAGCTCAGCTGCAGCTGACTGGTACAGCTTCAAGACTGGCACTGTTAGCTCAGCTGCAGCTGACTGGTTGAGACATCCATAACTACAGTAATCTCGCTGAAGTTGTCTGGGCGGAGACTACATGACTGTCAGTATTACCTCACCTTGAACAGCTTTTATAATCTCACTCTGCTTAGAGAAATCATTTGAAATAGTGAGATTTTCTCAAATGTATCAAGAGCAAAGTTTCGTTGAAGGTGTGGCTTTGTAGAGATTGATGATTGATGAAGATTAAGCCACCCAAATGGTGGCACGGGCATGAATAGCCCGTAACTCTGTAGAGGTGAGGGCCATGGATATAACTGGCCTTTCCTCTTTACATGAACAGAGTGAAGTGCTTAAGAAAGTAAAAATTAAAAGCATTAAAAATGAATAAGTGGCATAAAGTTTCTTGGTTTCTTCAACTTTATCAGCTAACGCCTTCAAGCAATTGAGAATCGTTTTCTAAAAAGATCTGTTAACGTATGGAAATAAAGCAGCGACGAAATGCAAGGCTCTTGTGTTTATTATGGTCTTCAGAATGTGTTCCTAAAGGAAGCAGAACACTCTCAACACCTCTATAGAGAGGAGGTCTGCCAGTGTGAGAACAATCGTGTCGTTCAACACTCTGTGTCTGCCATATTTCCAGGTAGCAGGACAGTTGCATTTGGCCGCTATTGGGTCGGGTCTGCATGGCTGGGATTCCCTTTGTGCTGAGCTGCGGGTTGGAATGAGACTTCTCTACACGATGTCATTGACTTCTTCATGCGTTGCGTTCTTTACCTCTTATCAACAGCACATGGGCCCCCCTTGAGGCCTTATTAGTGTGTTAGTATATTGTCGCACCTGCTTCTGTGTGTACAGTGGCGTCCGCCAGTGTGTGTGTATTTATTTACTATTTGTGCCTGAAGAATCGAGCTATTAGCTCTTGGACCCCGCCATTCTAACCGCAATATATTTTTCCCTCTATTATGATAACTACATATTTTCCTCTCTAATACATACCCACACTTTCCTATGAGGGCCGCTCGTAGCAGCTGTCTAACTCTCAGGTACCTATTTACTGCTAGATGAACAGATACATCAGGTGAAAGAAACTCCGCTTATATGATTCCGCCTCGGCCGGGAAACGAACCCGGGCTCATGGGACTGCTACCCCTGACCACTGTCTACTAAGCCACGAGGCCCTATAAATCATGTAGGCCCCTGTAGTTGTACTCAGCTAGTTGTGCTTGCGGGTCCCGCCTGTCAACTGTCAATCAACTGGTTTACAGATTCCTGAATCCTACTGGGCTCCATCATATCTACATTTGAAACACTGTATGGAGTCTGCCTCCACCACAACACTGCCTAATGCATTCCATTTACTAACTATTCTGACACTGAATAAGTTCCTTCAAATTTCTCTGTGGCTCATGTGGGTACTCAGCTTCCACCTGTGTTCCCTTGTGCGTGTAACATCCGTGTTAAATAATCCATCCTTGTCTATCCTGTCAATTCCACTGAGGATTTTGTGTGTGGTGATCACGTCACCCCGAGCTCTTCTGTCTTCCAGCGACGTGAAGTGCAGTTCACGCAGCCTTTCCTCATAACTTATGCCTCTTAGTTCTGGGACTATCCTAGTGACATACATCTGAATGTTTTGTTCAGTTCGGTGAGTGTGTGTATACTCACCTAGTTGTACTCACCTAGTTGTGCTTGCTGGGGTTAATCTCTGGCTCTCTGGTCCCGCCTCTCAACTGTCAATCAACTGATGTACAGATTCCTGAGCCTACTGGACTTTATCATATCTATATTTGAAACTGTGTATGGAGTCAGCCTCCACCACATCACTGCCTAATGCATTCCACTTGTTAATTAATCTGACACTGAAAAAGTTCCTTCTAACGTCCCTATGGCATATTTGGGTACCCTGTCTCCACCTGTGTCCCCTTGTT